AGAGCCCACCCAGTACGGCTTTGTCATTCAGTTGTTGATAGGGTAACATCTTTAACTTTCTGCTTCTTTTTCTTGCTTAAATCCATGCTCAATAGATATTATTTTTTAATAAGGTAAAAATGGTAATAATAAGTTCTCTACAAGCTTTTGGATGCATTCTGTTACCCCTGAGGAAGAAGCAGAGTGCAAATACCTTCTCATGGGATTCAGCTTTGTAGGGTTTTTTCCAGCTTTTTTCCAGGCTGTACGTGTTTAAAGAGGTAGAAGCTGCAGCATTTGGGTTTCTGCAGCCTTCCAAAGTAGTCTAGTGAAAGGTCACATTTCAGTTGTTACCACCTTGAAGTAGCAGGAGAGCACACACTGTGAATTGATGCTGACATCCAGGGTGAGGTCCTCATGCACCTCTCCTGCTGGTGGGAAAATCTCTAAGGGGCTCATCCTTGTCTCTGCCATCAAAGCAAGGTGGTGAATTTAAATCAGACTGGAGGCAGCCCAAGGGTTTATATGCCTGACTAGCAGGGATTCACTTTCAAAATAATCAGCCTCTTTCTCTATGCCAAAAAAAACCAAACAGTAGGAGCAGCAACTGGCAACTATACCAGTAAAATACTTGTATTATCTGCTAAAGAAATTGTGGGTCTTTGGCATTCCAACACTCTAATAAAAAATTAAGAAAAAACTTAGTGGTTTTGTAAAGTGAAAATCTACAACAGATGTCATGTAACATCAAGATGAAGTGAAAACAGTACTTGGGCCCTGAGGCACTTGGTACTTCTCATTTCAGAAGGAAATAAAAGTGAACTTCCAATCACAGTTAAGTTTGGGGAAGAATCCCTGGCTGAAGAAGTGGGGGTTAAAAAGGATGCAGCAAACATTTTAGGATACTTACAGTGTTAGAGAATAGTAGGAGTACAGATAGCTCAAATAGGCTTTCTCCTGCTTTGAAGTTGTTCCTCTTTCCAACAAACACTGTGCAGTACTTAGAAATGGGATGTTGTAAAATGTTGTAACCCAACAGCAAACCTGCACTCTTATCTGTAGGGGCTTGATTTGGTGAGAGATTGAAATGCAATTTATTTTTTTCCCCTTCCACAGTGAAGTACAGGTTTGTGAATCTGCTCTTTGTTTAGCAAAGGGAAGCCTGTGGCCTTTCCATGGAATATTCTCCATGTCTGTGATGTTGTCTTGCTGATTTTTGCCTCTCCTGCCTATGGAAGCTAAAAACTAGGCCCTGCTTCAAATTTCCAATGTGTGGTAGCTAATTACAACACACATACTCTTAATAAAGGAATATCATTAGTTATAAAATATGTCTAGTCTGGAGGTTCATGGGTAGGGGATGGAGAGTCCAGGGCTGTTGCCAACTGGACAACTCAGGCTATGATTTTGTTCACTACTGTGTTTTCTATTTATGTACCTACAAAGCAGAGATGATAAAATTTGTCTATGTCCTAACTCCTTTGAGCTCTTAGCAAATATTTATGAACTAGGTGCAGACTTTCAGGAGATGAGTAATCAAACTTCTCCATCTTCTAGAATCTTATCTCGTCCCGCTTTAAGTAGCTGTGTCTTTCAGTCTTGAGAGCACTTTCCAGTGGAACTGTTGAAATTTAGAACAAATACTTTTATGCTATGGGAGCACATTAACCTCATGTTAAACTTTGCTTCATCTTCCCCACTTCAGCTTATGCCCATGTTGTGTTCTATAACACCTCCTGACATTTAAGATGAACTGTAGATATTAAAGATTATTGAATTGTTCCCACTTGAATAAATGGGAACTTTGCCATTGGTTCCTCTGCAAATAGGATCAGGACCTGGACAGATGCATGTAATGTCTTGTAAGACACGCAAATATCTTTCTTCCTGAACAAATAGGACTCCATGTACTTCTGAAGCTTGTCCTCCAGCTCCCTGTGACATGCCTGCAACTACTTTTTCAGCCATTCAGTACATTATAATGATCTTCCCATTAATTTTCTGGAAACAAAATCAGCAATGTGGGATTGACCAAAAGACTCTCAGTCACAGGTGCTAAATTATACCTGAGTACAAAGGAAAATGCATTAAATCCACAGGAGAACCCAATGAATTCATAATGAGCTGGTGCTGTCACCTTAATAAACAAATGCAAGAGAAGACCTTACAGAGGTGGCCAGAGCTCTTGTTTCTGAGGATCTACAGGCACAATAAATGTTACTGTGATTTTGATTCAAGTTCTACTTAAGTTTTGTTTGAATGGTCATCACAGAGACGGAAAAAAAATAAAGTGTAAGACTTTATCTAGGTCTTGTTTCTCTGGAGTGCCATACGTAACTCGCACGTGTTCCTAAATATATTCCTTCCCTCAGCTCAGAATTTCCTTTAATCAGGGACAGGATTTTTGAAGGAAACTTAGAATCTCAGGATTTTATTTCCCTTACTCTTGCCCCACCAGGAAGCATACTCTGCAGTACTGGAGTCTTAAAAACATGAAGTTATGCAGGGGCTTTTTGTGAGCCCAGGCACCACACCCCGCACTCCAGTGACTTTGACAGAAGCTTAGCAGTCACCTGGAAGTACTTGGTGGATTGTGGCAGTGTCAGAACTAGATTGAGATCCTGTGAATTGTAAAATGTACATCACCAGTACCATAGCATATCACCTTCGGATTGAGCAAAGGCTAAACCAGCTGCTGAATTCAGAGGAAGATGTAAGCTGAGCACTAACTTACATTTTCAGGTGTAGAGATGGCACACTGCCCTGTCAGTGCCCTACTGACATTCCTCCAAGACACTTCAAAGCAGACCAACAGCAATAAAAAAAAATGGAGCCAACAAGACTGAGTTTGTCCCTGACCTGTTTTTCAATGAAGCCAGGATACACATTCATCTTCTGTTCCATCCTGTTCCCGCAATTTACCTTCAGATAACCAAAATTATGCACTTTCTCTGAAAACAAGCTCTGTGGGCCTACCCCCAACAGACCATGTGTTTTTAGCTGTACTAAATAAGCAAAGTGCATCATATCCTGCCTGTCCTGCCACAAACTGACTGACTCTGTTAGTAGAAAACACAGGCATGTTTGTCTGTTCTAGCCTGAATCCACTGGATTACTTTAAAGCAGCTTAAACTTGCTTGTTTTGACCCCTGGAAGGCCAGGCACTGCAGGTCTAATACCTGGGCCCCATTTCCAGACAGGTTGACAGCACAGGCATTTTCACAAAGAAAAAGCAAATAAATGTCCACTGAGCAGTGACCTTGTTAAATTACAGCAGGTAGCCTGAGCATCTGCTGCAGGCAGCACTTACAACGGGATCATAGGAACACACATTAGCTCTGGAGTATTGATCCTGCAAGGATCAGTGGAAGGACATTTCAATGAGAAAATGAATAATTCTTTGCTCTGATTATGATGATTAATTCTGTTATGTCAGCAGCCTTTGGCACTGCCAGTGACAGCAGATTTCATAAGCGAAAAACCTAATTCAAGAGCCAAAAACCTTAAAGAGGAATTTTGTGCATTTTAAGAAATAATATTAATAAATTACACACAAGCAGCTATAATTTTACATATATGCAGAAACACATATACTTTCCTCAGTTCTGTATAAGACTTTGTACTGATGTATAATTGTTTTGTATTTGGAACATCAGCCAGGATAAAAAACTGGCATTGTTGCTGGAATTGACCAGCCAGAGATGGACTCAACTTGGAAGTCTTTGGACCATATAAAGTTGAGCAGAAATTCTCTTGTAGGTGCCAATTTCACAAATAAGTGATCAGTGTTGAACTGGCAGGCATCCTGCTTCCCTCATTTCAAATTTGGTTATGCAAAAGACTAATCAAGACATCTATCAGGTACATCATTTAAGATGGCTCTTCGCTAACACATGAAATTGGAGGGCCCTGGAGTTCCAGTCCTTGAAGGGGATTTGGCTTTCAGACAGTGCATTAACCGATTTCCTCTCCAGTTCTGAAGGCATGCACTGACCAGTTGTGTTCCTTTCTCCCACTGACTTTTTTCCCTCAGGTGCCATATCCAAGTTGTGCTCTTTGTCAGTTTGTTTTTGTCTTGGATGCATTCCAGCTCTTGTCTTTCATGCATTTGGTACAAGACGGATTTAGGAGGGAAGTATTGATGCCAGGTTCCCCAACCCTGTTTTGTTAGGAATGTTCATTTGGCAGTCCTAACATCACTAAAACTTATTATCAAAGGGATATGCTCTGCCAACATATGACCTTTAGCTGTTAAGAAACAGTAGAGAAAGCACCACAAAAGCAGGTAATGCAATAATCAGTTCAGATATTTGACAGATAACAAGAAATGGCTCTCTTGCATTAAAGCATGGCATTTAGAAAGCTGGAGCAGCACTTTAGGTGGCTGCCCTGTTGTTGTGATCTGTCAGTTGTAAAACATTTCCCTAAAGAAGGAAAATAAACTCCCCCACTTAGATCTGTACATCGGTAATTAACACGTTGATTTTCAAACCAGAATCACGGCAAACACTACTGCAGGTGTCACCTCCTTGCTCAGATGTGTTGATCATTTGCCTTGTACCAGCACCCTTGCACAGAAAAATATTTGGACCCAGCATTTTGAACCTCTCTGTGTTTTCTCACCTTATTGATTCATATACGGGGTTGTTTCCTATCTAATTTTATTTTGTGTGTGTTTCATATGCAAGGAAAAGAGCTGAAGGCTGGGCACAGAAGAAAACAGTCTCTTTTTGATCTAATGAGAAACTGCCTTACAGATTTTTGCGGCAGAGAGGATACATGAACATTTTTATTGCCATAAAAGTTTTGATTATCTGGGGTGAACTTGTAATGACTGCATATAGCCCCACCAATTAATATCTAACACTAAAAATGCTGAAGGGGTGATGGGCAAGTACACAGAAAAAGACATTAATCTGCCATACCTACATAAACAAGGAAGTTATTTTAGTGTCAATTCACACTTTGTATACAACCTGCTTTCCAACTATTCAAGGGAGATCAATATTTATGACAGTTCATTAGAGAATGCAGTTGACTTTTATTGTGCAGACCAAAACAAAATGCAGTCACCAACCCACCACTGCATTAATGTATGAAATCAGTTAACAAAATGATTGTAAAAAATAACTTAATCTCTGATGAGCAAATGGAAGCAAGTTCTACAGCTCTCCCACATTCCCATGTTGATAGGGGAAAATGGCATTGAACCATTATACTCAGTAACTCGGGGACACAACCTTCTGCTGCTTAGGGGAATAAAAACATTCTGATTTTTTCCCCCAGTCCCAAAACCATTGGTTCAATATAAAAGAAAAGTCCCCCTTGGAGTTACAGCAGAAGTCCCACACTCTTAATTCTCTAACTTCGATATGTAAGTACCTGATAGAGCTATCCTACTGGCGTGTACACAACTCAGTGAAGCATTGCTTGGCTCCTTCCAAGTGTTTTTAGCTTGCCAGCATACTAGGCTTAATCTTCTGATTCCTCATAATGTGCATACCCACTAGCATAGGTCCTTCCTAAATTCAAATTGCTGAAGACATCTGTGGTCTCAGAATCTGAATCCTTCCCTCCCTCATCATTGTCATCTTCATCATCATCTTCTGCTTCGTATTCATCATATTCATCCTCACGGTCACCTGCATTTCCAGTCTTGCTGGAGGAGAGATTTTTCCAGTAGGCATCATAACCAGAAGCTCCATCTGCATCTTCTCCTCCAGTCTGTCGGCCAAACTTCAAGGAGCGGGCTGCAGGCAGAGAAAAACCATCATGTTCCCACCCCTCAACAGCAATCCCACGTTCCCTTTCTATCCCTTTTTTCACTATTTGAAGAATGCACGATGTTAGGCAGTCTTTTTCTAAATCTGACATTTCCAGATTCAATCCTTACTCTAACAGACTCTTTCTGCTGCTGCACATGGAAGTGCAGCCAAGTCTGTATAAACAGGAACTGCCCCCCCAAGTATGTCTTAGGTTTTTAGGATAATCCTTTGGTACTCTAGCCAAGAAGACCTGCGACTGGATGTGTGCTTTGCAGACATAATACATATGGTGATTTATTCAAGAGTGGTTGGGGTAGATTGTATACATATCAAAACACATTTTGAAATTCATTAATCAGCTTCTTGTACATGAAATAAGGAATTAAGTGGTGATTTACTTTTTTTTTTCATTTTTTTCCACAACTAAAATCTTAAACTAAACAAAAGCTTTCACTGTATTGAAATCAATTAATGATTAAGAATGAGACTGCTCAATTCTATAATTCAGAAAGTTCTTCCCAAAACAAATGCAGCAAAGCTGTGCAAAACAATTAAAAGTAACCAGATTTTACTCAAGTGTTCCTAGGCAGAAAAGTAGTCACCAATGGCACTTGTATGGCTTGTTAGCTAGAGAAGCTGGCTTACTTGACATGCTCAGATCCTTTGTCTGCTGAGTTTCGTGGCCACATTTAGGGCAAGGAGGCTCTTTTCCTTTTTCCTGCTTGAAGACCTTACTTCGCACATGGTCGTCACAGAAACAAGCCTGTGGGTTGAAGGGAGAATAAAAAGGCTAAATGTTTTAATCATAGAAGCATATTCTTCAGCAAGAAGCAAGCAGAAAACCTGTTTTAACAGCAGCAGGGTTTTCTGGTTGGGATTAAAATTTAATGAGGTCTATCTGCAGTGGATGTGGGTCTGTGCACAGCACAACCACTCTGTGCTGAATGTAGTTCCACAGCTTCCTGGGGAAGAGGCTGCATAAAAGTGCCAAAAAACAAGCAGAGAAAGTAATGTACTCGAGGGCTGGATTGTAGTGCTGCCCACGAGGATCCTGGCAAACCTGGGTTTACACTGACAAGCCTAAATAAAACACAATGAGATATTTGCCAGAACATTATGCAGTGGCCTAAAGGCAAGAACTAGAGACAGGAAGTTCACATGCTGAGCACCAGGGTGCAGTGAAGATACCCAGAGAAAGGAACAATTTGAAATATGCCATCAATGCCATGGGAGAGTGCAGGAAAACATATGGAGGGTAAGAAGAGTAAGAGCAGGCAATGAACCAGCATTTGGAGAAATCTGGGCAATGCTGACGATGAAGCAGGTGGAACTTTTTATACAAAATGATTTCTGAGTGTGTAAAACCATGAGTCTGATGTCAACAAGTTAGTCTGTTCACATGTAAAACTGGATTAGCTGTGGAGATTATTTCTATTGGATCCAGGCTGCAGCAATTTCTGCTCAGATTGACCGTTAAACTTCACTGTTTAAAAAAAACCCAACTTTTTTAATGATTGTAGATCCACACCGTATCAAACATATTACAAAGCCTTGGATTCTGTTCAAGGCCAAGGATTTGCTTTGTTGTTTTGTTGTTTTTTTTTAAAGACCCAACATGGTACAGGCCCAATTTAAACTAAGAGGGCTGGACAAAGTGAAGATCACCTGAGCTGGCATAACGATGCACTACACTGGCTAATGGTTAACAGGCAAGCACAGATAAAAGACCTTCTGCCCCCCAGAGGTCTGCCCCCTAAAATATAACACAAAAATATTACATTTTTTTAATAATGGAGAGGAAGACATGACAAGACCTGACACCAGCCTTGGAGACCAAGAAGAATGAACCTAAAATCACAGCTACCCACAACTGTCTTTACTCTTTACCTTACAACGCAGGCACGAGTGCTGCCCAAGCCTGTTACAGGAAACACCTGTTGGAGAAAGTCAATATATCAAATTCAGTACTTGGAAACTGCAGATGTGTGATGTGTTTAAAACCTTGTAAAAGTATGTAATACCATTACTGAGGCATTTGTTTTTAATTCCCTGACATAACTGTACGATGGCAATGTGAATCAGCCATTTTACCACATAGTACCCTTTTACTAGATTTTTTTTTTTCAATCCTAAGCCTCATGTTATTAATGTAATCTGATACCAAAAACTAAAAAACATCAAGAGGGGAAAAAGTTTAATTATTTCTTGAGCTTCCAAACTTTTAAAAACAGAAGTTTCAGAAGAAATTTGGTATTAAGCAACCATATTGCTTCTCCTTTTCTCACACACCAAAAGGAGTGCTAGTGACATGAGAACACTTAAAGCTTGCAAACTTCAAAACCTAGAAATGTTATGTTCCATATTTTCTGTCATATCATCTGGAAATGCACCTGATGTTCCATATTTTCTGTCATATCATCTGGAAATGCACTTGATTGCACACAAGTTCATATGAAAGTCTATCTGTGTTAAAGAACTGGACCTGGCACACAAGCTGTAAAGAGCAGAATCAGTGCCCAAAATCTAACTTGTCTTGAGCTTCAAATTGTTTTCTTACTCCACTAGAGGGAGTACAGTAAAGGCAAACACTCAGGAATCGGCAGAAATGTGAAGCTGGGTGAATAGTTACTCCTCGAGAAGCAGTAATATGTATTTTATCAGTCTCTGTGTGAGTATTTATTCCCTTTCACCTTGCTTTGCCCCTGTGACAGCGAAGTTTTTGAATAATAAATATCACAAGTTCTCCACACGAGCAGGACAGCCATGGGATTTAGAGCTCTGTCATGTGCTTAAAGATGGAAATGATAATGCATTTATATTTGTCATTTCTTGAGTATCTGCACTTTAAAAAACTTCTCTCAGATAGCGATGGGAAGTAACACTACCCTTTTCACAGCTAGAATGGATTTAGACTACAATTGCATGACCACATTTAGAGTTTCTGTATTCTGTAAAAGTACAGGTTTTATAATCTTGCTATCACACACTGATAAAAATCCTGTATCTTTTCCAAGTCAGTGCTGTGCCACAAAACATTGAACACAGTGAAAAAAACCTCAAAAAAACTTTTGCCCTATTCAGGGTGTGATGACATCTGTGAATTAAAAGCTTCCAACAATCATTGAAAAACCATTCTTGTGGAACAGCTGTTGCTGCTTCAGCATTGCTATGCAGGAAGGTATTCAGGTAGAATACATCAAGGGAAGCTAAGGAAGGCTCAGAGAACAGCTGGCTGGGAACAAAAGGATGGGAGATGAAAAAGAGATAAGAGATTTCTAAAGACACCAACTAGAACATTGAAATCAACAAACATTCTAAACCAGGAGAGATAAATTAGGACAAGAGATTGGTCAGTTCTAAAGAAAATATTCTTAAGATAAAGAGCACCTTGAGTTTCTACAATAATGACTGAAAATAACTTTATAGTTAAAATACAGGCAAGTTTTAGAAAGGACAAACAGATGTCTCATGAGATAAACTAAATAGTCATTCATGGTGGATAGAGAAGAAATACTTCTACAAAAATTTAGTTATTTCAAACATGCATAGTCTTGGCTTGTTGGTGTTTTATTTTGTGGGGTGTTTTTTTACCTTCCCTTGAAATTTCCCTGTTTCAGCCAGAGATGAGCAGTGAGTGAGCAAAGTCAGGGATTGCCATCATGTCCTCTTATAAACACCAGTTTCAGTTTTGTCCACACAATTAATCAAAGTTCAACAGGACATAAAGTCTTCAGCTACCTGGTTTTTACCCAGCAAGAGTGGACATGTATCAACGCCTGATACATTACTGACATACATGTCCACTGTTCAGTTGGGAAATGAAAATGGAAATCATGCTCTGGACTATTTTTGTCACTTCCTTCTGTGTTCACTGTGTCTCCCTGAATCAGATGATGGCTCCTGACTGAGTCATGGCCTTCCTCAGGACTTCAACAGCTGCCAGCTCTTCATCAACACACAGGCCTTCCACAGCAACGTGGGAAAGTTTAGCCAGCCTAACAGAGGTGGCATTGTTTGGGGCAGCTGTTTTCCACGAGGAACAGGTATCTAGAAATAGCTCATCACATGGTCAGAAGAGTGGAAGACAGCTCCTCCTGCCTGCAGAGCTTTGTGGAGTAAAAAAGCAGCATCAGCAGTTCCAGCTCTTTTGCTGCAGTCCTGGCCACTGCCAACACTCCAACTTTGGAGACTGCTGGCTCCTGCAAAGGCAGCTTCCCATGGGAGGCCTGTAAGAGCCTGGCAGGAAAACAACTGCCATGTATACTCTGGCATGGAGGAAAGTCAGAGACAAAAGTTCCAGTCTGGATAACTGAATACCAAGAGCTGGCACACACAAAAAAGGCAAAGGCTGGGAAAGGTGATAAGAGAGTATTCTGGAGCACAGAGGAAGCAAGTGGAGACTCTGCTTAGCTCTGGTGAAAGGGACTATGAATAACTAACTTACATTTAAACGTCTCTGCTTCCAGAACTTGGCAGCTGGCTTGATGTTCAAACTGATCATCTTCACAGAGGAAATCATGGCAAAAAGAGCAGGCGAATATTCTGCCTCCTGAAAGATTTATCAAGGCAAAATAATCAGCAACGGGCACAGGCATCAAGTTCTGCTCTGCAAACAGTTTAGGCAGTAATTTTGATGGAAAACCAGGTCTCCCTTCTGTCACTAATGCTTCAACAAAGTCCTAAATTAGGCACTGCCATCCATTTTTACACTGACAAATACCTTGTTTCCTACAATACAAGCCAGCATAAATATAAAAAGAGTATTACTTCTAGTACTTTTCTTTAATTCAACTACAGCGTTAAGTATTTTCCTTAAATCAGATCATATTCTCATCCAGTCTCCTTCCCTCCCATCCCCTTAGCTCTGATATAAGCTTGGAATAAACACTTTAAAGGATTCCACAAATCGAGACCAGTATGGTTTGCTAAGCAATTTTGAATCCAAATACCTGTGCTAGTGCAGAAGAACAGAGTGGGAATGGTAGAAGACTGTGTTGGCAATTTGATGCAGTTCTTAATTATGCAAATAATTAGGCTGATAGAACCATTATACTTTAGATGACACAATCATCCCTGACTTGAGCACTGTATGTTCTTGAGCAGGTTGTTTAGTGTCCCCACTGCATAATGTCTCTTTTTAAAACGGGGAGAATCCTTGCTTTGAACAAACATACTTGCAAGGACTAATCAGTGAGGATTAAAAATGCTGTTAAGAATAAAGGTGCAGTATCCTAAGCAATGCAATTTACATTTTCTTATTTTTACACGTGAGCAACCTACCATGGTCCCAGACACTTCTTTCACACTCAATACATTCTGCATCTGCGAGAGGGCAGATACACGCGTGTGTGCTGAGACACTTCCTCCCGTGACACACCCAAGCTTCACAGAAATCACAGATTGCACCCTGCAATTACAGAAAGATTATCACCTCTGAGCTTCTGCAATACCTAGAGAGACACTCTGACTCCATAGTCCTCAATGTATCCTCGTATCCCTTCCCTCAGTGGCTTCATTTCGGTTGACTGGGAGAGTATTGAACCTCATCTGTATTCCTATCAAGCTGCTCCTCAGTTCATCTTGTTTGTTATTCATTTCTGCAGGGCTAAATATGATGCACAATAACTTGCTTTTCCCCTTTTTCTGTCTTTTACATTTATTTTCTTAAATTGTGTGCATGAAAATTTTGTCCTCCGGTTGAAACCTGAGATCCACAAAGGATAACAGTGTTTTGGCAAAAAAGGAATTTCAAAAAAGACGTGAAAAATGCCAATAGTTTCTTACAGCCGAAGTCACTCATTCAGATTTTAAACCATGTTATATTAGAGCACATCCCTGCAGAGAGCAAAGATCAATTAACTAATCAGAAGTAAGTTAGACTCTAACTTTCATTTTGATTAAATTACAAGATCTTCACATCAGCTGTCCTTAAAGGTAGCATTTAAGAAGCCTCCTCAGCCCATATGTAACTAACTACCATGTGCATTACATGCACACAAAACTAAGAAAACAATGTGAATGCAAATTAATTGTTGAGGCATTCACTACTGCATGAGTGAATGCATGGGATGAGCTCAAGAACATCAGAATGTAAAGGCAAGCTGTGTTACTGAGAAAAGCTGACTGTCAACTGGAGGTGGAAACAGGACAGAGGTTTAGTCCACATAGCACTTAATCTAGAGGCTGTGACATGTCAAACCTTGCTTTCCAGAATGGAGACACTAACCTGTCCTTAGAACAAAAATTCAAAGGCCTGAAGCTATGATTATCTCCTTTATGAGCCCAGATGAGGGTTTATGTTAAGTAAAATTCCTCCCTAATGCTATGGAACAGATTCCTCTCTGTGATACTGATGATCTCTGCAATACTAAGACAACAGTAACAAAAGTCTGCAGGTCTTTGCAGAATGATCCTGGATTGTAATGAAGACTGAGAATTGGATATGGGGCATGTAAGCTCCAGTGCTGTTCATGCATGTGCTTAAGAGCCTGACACCAAGACAGATCCACTAGCATCCAGGATGTGTTGGAGCTTGCAGGAGCTGAATCTAAAAATGCAAAATTTCAGTTTTCAGTATAAGGGAAAAATCAGTTTCTTATAGTAAAACAAGGGGGGAAAAAAACTTGGCACGGTACATGCTATCATTCCATAAAGCTGTTCTATCTTCTTTCAGAAAGATTTGCACAAAATAACCTCATACTGCTAAAAAGGCTTTAATTTTGTATACATACCACCATTGCTAGTCCAGTACCATACACACCAGCGTGTTTTATGACACAGTCTGAAGACTTCATCATGCATTTGGTTTTTCCTGTTTAAAATAAAAAGGCAAGCAACCATAAGGAAACTGTAGAAAAAACAGTAGAATGCATGTTCATATAAGAACAGCACTTTACTAAATACCTGAGCCTAACTGTAAATCTAGGTAAAAATAATGCAAATAAAGATGTCTGAATTATTGCTGCATCCTGCAACCCACTTTCACATCTCCCTTAGGTTAAATTATTGTCTCTTTTCAGCCAAAACCTCTTGCCCCTGTACTGAGATAAAAAGGCAATGTGTTGGTTTTGCTCTGTTTTGAGGCACTGGCAAAAATGTCAAATGTCAAAACAAACCAAAGAACAAAACTAAGGTCAAAGTCAAGCCACGATATCTTAAAAACCTGTATTTAAATCTGCTGCTGGTTCTGTCCCATCATAAAAGCAGCACATGCTGTGTGCAAGGCACAAGAAAAAAAGCCATGTGTTTAATTACTTGCAAGTACTTGGATACGTGGTTTTTTCGGTTGTTGGTTGTTTTGTTGGTTTTTTTCTTTTTAAAAAAACATAGATTAGATTCTAGAAAAAATAATTCACTTTAAATACAGGGGACAGGTGGGAGAAAAAGCCACAGCCTGCACCTAAAAGTCATTCTGACACAAGCAAGCAGCAAGGGTGACAATTTTCTCCTAGTCCTTGTCTCTGACATAAACAGCTCTACCAGAAAGATCCACACTCTGTCTGCAGTTATACAGATCCACAAAAAGACTTTGTAGTCAGCTCAGGCTACTGCAGTGGAGTTTTATCACTGATTCAAGTTGTGCTGCCATGGACCCCTTTGGTGTGTCTGTTATTGCCTGCTTAGAGAAACCAACAGCAAGGTGCTCCCTGCCCACCCACTCAAGGCCTGAAAAACCAAATTCTACTCTGAAAATACTTAAATCCCAGTATGCAGAGTTTTGCATTACACCAACAGTCAGTTACCAAAGGGCCCTTGGAGGGTGAGGAAGTACCAGTGGTGGGCTGAGCTGGGCAATGAGGGGGGGGGGCATTACTCAGTCTGGAGCACTGTAGTACAGCTACCTTGCTCCCATCCCTCAGGGACTTCTCTAAGGAAGGTGCTGTTGGTTTGTAGTGTCTGTCCCCCTAGATCAAGCATGAAACAGCTCTGGTGGTCTTTGTTTGGAAAACCCTTGGACTCAACATAATTTTACGGTTGTTGATAGGAATGCTTTTCCTCTAGAAACATACTCCAGATTAAAATAAACTCAACACCACAGGAGTCAACTTCAGACAGATGTTTTTAGTACTTCACTGCATGATGACAGAAGGAAGACTCATGAAGGATAACACACTGCCAGTGCACACTAACAGCCTGGCTCCCAGAAACGCTCAGAATCTGCAGGTCACAACAAAGGCACTGGAAGCTGCAGATGTCAGCAGCTCTGAGAGTCAAACAACAAAACAGCCAAATTGCTTAATGACAAATTGAAAATCTGCAAGGATGTGTTGGAACAGCGAAACAACAAAATTCACCTCAGTAAGAAATGAATATTGACATCTCTTGCAAGCAAGCAGCTGTTTGAAAACAAAGGGCATCTTAGTCTGATTCAGAGCAGAGCTTCGTCACTAGGAGTCCTTTTCTTCTAATTTCAAAGCATCAGCCCTCTAGCCCATATAAATAAAATAAGCAGTATACTACATTACAACCCCATGCAAGATGAATAATGTACTGTTGCTTTAATTGATATTGAACTGACTAGAAATTATATAATCCCTAAAAAAACAGTATTTGGTGCCTTGCCAGCAGTCAGAGCATTCCTAGTTTTGCTACCATTACCAAACAATACCCCACATGGTAAATGTACGGAAACAGTCAGATATTCTCAAACCCAAAAGGCAGTGAGACATATTCTTCCAAAGATCAAATGCTGAAGGCAAGCCCAGACTTGCAAACCTCTGGAGGTCAGAGGCACACACATTAGTGCATGACCAAACAAGGTCACTTCTCAAGGAGGGTATTCACAGCAGATTTAAAAGAACCTGATCCACAAACCACAAAGGTACTTCTAGACAAAGGTACTCTAACAAAGGTACTGAGAGTTTAACACCACAAACAGGACTGAGGACACCTTTCATTCATTAATTCTACTCACCACATTGTGCACAAATGGGTAATTTCTGAACAGAGTTACAGAAGTAGCAAAAAGCTCTGTTCTTCTGTCGTCTAGGCACATGGAGAAGGAACCAAAAGAAAAAGAAAGCAAGCATTAAAAAAGACCCGTGAGATGTTTGAAACTAATTAATATTAAACTACTGGTTTTAGAAGGGAAAAAATTCTTACCTTTGGCACTTATCACATTCCTAAAAAGAAGAAATAAAACACTGGTCATTATTTTCATTCTAGGTAAAATATATAAAATTTGGAGACACCTACAGGGACTCTGAATTCTTATGATTAGAATCCAAACTTTCTATTCAATATTATACATCTAATGCAAATTTAAGCTTAAATATAAAGGAGGAACAGTAGGAAGAATGACATTCTTATGGCACTAAATACATTTATGTATTATCACCGGTTTAACATGATTTAAAATAACGTATTTTAATATAAAATACTTTAGGTTATTTTACCATTGAAGCATTACAAGGATGTTTGGCCAAATCTATGTTGGCTCTTGAAGCCCTTATCTGCTTTTCACGTTCTCGACGGTTCTCAGCTTTCTTACGAGCACCAGTCTTCTTTTTAGGCATATTCACTATCTGTGGGGGGAAAAATAGGTATGTGATGAATGCACACAGAATTATGTATGTAAATACATGGATACACATGACACATCCACTAAAACTGCATCTTGGAGTTCACAGGTTAACTGTGCTTCATTCATTTCCTTTTCTGAAAGTTTCTTTTCAAAGGCAGAAGAAGGGGCCAGTCCATGAGGAAGAGCCATGTGATGAACCATAAAGAATCTTGTGATCTGAAAAAGAATTTGCTGTCCTCAACTTTGTGTTGAACTATCTTTGAAGTGTTCTGTCTTGGAAAAAAAAAGGAAACCACTATGTTTGTGGGCTTGTTTGTGATGGGCCTCTGGTTTTGGTTTGCCTTGTCTGTTTAATAAGGAAAATATTCAGCTCATTTCCTCTTTCACATCTTATTCTCAGTAACTGCTTCATTCAGTTAAAAAGCATTCTTCAGGTAAGCAAAAAGTGGTGTACTCCAAAAATGCAAATTTCACACTTCATGAAGGCTGAGAAAACAAAATGTCATTATACAGATTTAAGAGCTATGACAAAGGGATGTTTGTGCTGCTTATTTATCATTCTAGCATATTTGCAATAATGAAGAGATGAGCATGCATTGCTTTGAAGACACCATTGTTTTCCAAAAAGGATTTACACTAAGTTAGTTCCATTTGGTTCCATTCTAACATTCTAGGAGGGAACCAGTGCAACACAGTGGTGAGACCATCAGGCAAACAATCAGCCCACTGGTTTCTTGCCATGTCCACAATGAACTGTGCAGTACTCACATATGCTTAGTTTACTTTGTGTTTATAATAAATTAGGCAAGGATTATCCTGACTCCATGAAATGGACAACTGAGAGATTCAAGGTGTGGCCTGATGTAAGAATTTCTCTCATCAACACAGGCACTTCCTTAGGCTCCATCTTTATCATCCCCTTATTTCTGATGATGTAACTGTTCTTGGTGTCCTGTTCTAAAACAGATACAGGTTAAAAACAAAACTAAACCCAAACCAACAAACACCACCAAGGCCCAGATTAGCACAACTTGATGGTGGAAGACGGTTAAAGGGGCACCAGTTCACTTAGCAAGCATGGGAATGAGAAAGCAGCTAAGGATGAGGTGATGATCTCTCCACTGACAAAAAAATTGCCTGTTCTAAAAAAAAATACTCTCAATTCTACGAACCCACTTCGTTGTGTTGCAGCTAACAAATCACACTCCCTTGCAGACAATAGGATGGCTGGATCTTTCCAGGTGTTTAGCTCTTATTTTGGTACCTCACCAGTGCTTCTGTTTCAAAAACCTGGCCCCTCCAGCAAGCTGCCCCAACACACACTGCACTTGTACAACAGTTCTTTTAGCTACAAGTACACCTACCAGTGGCCCTTGCTCTGCCTCTGATTTCTAAATCTGCAGAAAAACACCTTCAGACAATTGGTAATTGAGACTCAAGTGTCATCTTAACATCTCAATCTCCACTTAAGGAGTTTGAAGAAAATCACCGCAGACTTGGAGCTTGGCAAAAACTGGCCCACACGATGAGACAGCTCTGCCCAGGCAACCTCTGCTGATTCCAGTAGGGTCTGTGGGTGGATATCAGGGCCACTGGCCTAAGGAAGTGAGAGGTACCTGCTCTCCTCAGCCTCATCCCTAACTCCAAGCAGACATGCATGCTACCATCTGCAAGGATAGTTTCAGCCGTAACAGGCAGCCAATTCTAGCATCTTAAGCTTGGAAGAAAAATGTTCAAAAGGTCTTATAAAATAAACCGACGAATCCTAACTTTCCTGAACATAGAAATATATTGTCCTGACCAAATACTAAAATTTGGGTTTGATAGCACACATAAATCAGTTTTCTCACCCTGCAGCATTTTGCACAGTATTTAAATTGTATTAGTGTCATATTTTGTAGTCAAAACTATATTGCTGCGCTGCCTGCTGGCAACTGTCATCATTCTAGAGCGTGACATTTCAGTCCAATATGAGGCTGCACACGAATTTTCAGACAACTCAAATGCTGATTTAACAACAGAATCTAATGGTTAGTATTTATACCTTGACTTCTTCCCATTACAACATAATCCAAAGCACCAAAGTGACAAACTGTTTTCATGGAAAGCACTGCCTCAATGACTACTGAGGACACAGGTTATTAGAAACCTTCTAAGTGGCAGTTTTTAGAAAGCTGCACTAAACTAAGTAACAACAGAACTGCAATGTCAGGTCCTTTTAACAAAGCTATGGAGTCAATCCAGGCTTTCAGACACCATCCAGTAACAACATCCTATAGATGAATATTCTTATCACTCTTTCCCTCTGAGCTTCCACTTAAGATTTGTTTGTTTTCTTTGCCCTGAGTTCAAATTTTTTAGGAAACTTACCTTCTTTTAAATTCTGGATTAGAGCTTAATAGTGTTATGGTTCCAGAAATTATGACAGCATAAGCTTTGTTTACATGCAATTCCTTTCAAAGCAGAGTATCGTCTCTTTTGAAACCACTGATTAGTACTTAAATGCCTCTGCTGTATGTTCTACCTCCACTTTTGACACACCTTTGCCAAATGCTCAGGCAGCAAAGCCCCGGTGGAATCTGCTGACTTTCCCATGCACCCTTCAGGAGAGAAAAGTGCATTTGGAATCCCTCCTCAGCCCCAGAGGGTATGGCCATGCTGCCCCATGGAGTGTGGGAGCCCCTGAAATGGGAAGAGTTCTGCACAAGGGCGTTTTCTCCATTTGAAGTTTCCTACTTGGGAGTTAAACGCTGGGCCAGAGCAGCAGCTGCAGCAGTGAGTGTGGCTCTCCAGCTTAAGGGCTGATGCTGTGGCACAAGAAAGCACAGAGTTCAGATATTGGAAGTGGTGTCGGGGAAGGTTTAAGTTGGGTATCAGAAAAAGGTTCTTCCACCAGAGGACGGTTACGTGCTGTAACAGCCCCCCCAGGGAAGTGGTCACAGCTCCAAGCCTGACAGAGTTCAAGAAGCATTTGGATGATACTCTCAGGTGCATGGTGTGAATCTTGGGGATGGTCCTGTGCAGGGCCAGGTATCAAAAGGCTGTGTATGAGGTGAGCAGCAACTCAAAGCAAAAGCCCTAATGTGTGTTATGTGAGTACTGGGTCTGTAGCACCAGGTTCCATCCTGTAAATTTTCACCTGCTGTTGCTCATGTGCTGCATCATATGTTGAGGTAAACACAGGCAAAGACCACAGGCAGAACTCCCACCCATAGCCCCAAAGACTGTGTACTTTAACTGATGGCTGTGCTGTGTAAGATACATTAACAGCACCTGGTATCCAAGTTCTGCTGGAGTCACACCATGCCCTTGTGGAGGTCCCAAAGACACACACTGACTGCACCAGCAGATTTCTGGATCTCCTGTGCTGAGCAGGACATTGCCTCGTGTTGTATTATCTTGTGGTATAGGAACCACATCATGAAGAGCTGAAACAAGCAATTCATTGGTGGGGCAGGGGAGCTGGTAGGTTACCCTTGTCATCCCACAAACACCAACACCCAAAAGAGGCTTTCTGTGTTCCAAGCGTTCTTATACTTGGCCATCAAATACTTTCTACCTCACACGTATTCAAAATCTGTTCTACCACTCATACAAAAATTACAGCGTTAAAAAAAAATAAATAAATCCGCATTAGCAGTAGTTCATAACAATTGTCCTGGCACTGTGATGTGCCGTGACTTACTCCATCTTTTGGAAGCAAAGCGGCTACAAACTGCACCGTGGGACCGCAGCGCCCGGGGGCTGCCCCGCTGGTCAGCGCAGAGGGCTGGGGGGGCTTCCTCAGGCACCTCTCCGGCACATTCCCTGCTCGGGAGCGGCACCTCGTCCCGCCGGGAGCCCGGCGAGCCCTGCCACGGCATCAGCTGCCAACCTGGATGGCCGCGCTCCGTGCTTCCAGGGACCTGGACACGGGGAAGCCAGGCACCGCTTCGCTCGCTAGGGCAGGGAAGCCGCGGGAGACCGGGACCCTCAGCGCCCCCAACCCACCCCCTATCGTCCCCAGCGCTCCCTCCCACTTCCCGCTCCCCTATCCCACCTCCCTGTCGCCGTTCGTAGCTTCCTTTCCCCTCTTCCCCGTTCCCCGCTCCCACCTGGCTCCGGCGGCCGTGCGGAAGCCGGAAGCGCCGGCTCTCCGCGGTGCGCTGCCCGCCCGGCCCGCGCCGCCCGGCGCGAACGTTCCGGGGGCGGCCGCGGGGCCGCGCCTGAGGGGAGTCGGGGAGGGAAACAAGAATCCCAGGATAGGCATCCTGCCCTTTCTCCTCACGGGATCGCAGTGTGCCCGCGAGTTGGGAGCCGGGAAATGGCAGGTGTTCGCGCTGCAGGGAAAGGTGTTGCCAGAGTTTTGGAGGGAGGCATCATAAAACAGGAGCAGTTGGCACCTGCATCTTGCGTGCTACGAAGCACTTGGTTATAAGAACTGCACCGGCCTGCACTTTCATCTTCTTCGATTAAAACAGGGACACCGTCCACTAGGCGAGGTTGCTCAGAGAACCATCCAACCTGGCCTTGAACACTTCCAAGGATGGGGCACCCACAGCTCTGCAGGACAGCCTGTGCCAGGGCCTCACCACCCCCACAATGAGAGTGTTGTCCTTGTATCTAATATAAATCTCTCATCTTTTGCTTTAAAACCATTCCCCCCTTGTCCCATCACTATGTGCCCATGTAAAGAGCCACTTTCCCTCTTTTTTGAGAGCCCCTTTTATGCACTGAAAGGCTGTGGTGAGGTCTCTCCAGAGCCTTCTCCAGGCTGAGCAACCCAAATTCCAATAAACTCCAATATAATCTCTCTACTCGCTTAAAACATGCCATCCGTTTCACGGTGGTTCGGAAATCACTGAAAAAGCTTTTCCAAGCTGTTTGCATGGATGTTCCTGATCACTGGGTGTTCCATCCTCAAGTTTTGTTTGCTTTTGTGTCAATTGCCACCACAACTTTCGCTTGACAGAGACCAAATTTAGGACATCATAATAATTGCAAAAATTAGTTGTGATTGTAATTGGCACCTGAAAAGTTGTCGCTGAAATATTTAATTAGTGGGTCCATCTGTTTTTAAAATGAAGTATTGATTAATCTTAATGGTAGGCATACAGTGTAGTTTAAAAATGGAAATAATACCCATGCTATAAAAGACCCCTGTACACAGCTCTGTCTGGCCTGAGGTTATACAAGTCACATAGATGGATATTACCTAGAAAACCCTTCGTGAAAATCATTAGAAGGTGTATTGTATAGGTATTCAAATGAAGATGAGTGCATGGATCACATTCCAGTGTATTTCAGTCTTTTGCCTAGGAAGGGTTTGATACATATTTCATACAAATAAGTCCTGGGGCACTGTTTTGTGTGCTTTGATCATCCATTCCCTCGGGTGGGGTGATTGTGTTGCTTCACGTCACACTTGGTCATGCATTTCTTTCTGAAAGTTGACTACTGGTTATGGATGTGATTTTGGCTTAGTGGAAGAGGCCTGTCCACCATCACCTTTCCAGGAAGAATCTTCTAATTTTTGTGAGGCCAGAGTTTTATCTCCCCCAACAAATTGTTTGCTTGTCACACTTTTCCTTCAAGATGTAATCTTCACACTAGGTTAGTGGGATGCCCAGAAAACAGCATTATTATTTAGAAACAAAAAAAATCATGATGATCACTTAACTGGACATTTCTTCTTCCTGAGAAATGGTGTGGAGAAGTAATTTTTAATTATTGGCAGTAGCCATGGCCACATGCTGTTTACCTAGCAGCCTAGGTGAAGTAGGAAATATGATCTTTTGTGAGATATCAGTGCTTTTTTTTGTCTAATTCTCACTTTTCTTAATGAAGGCCATTAATCATCAATATTCTTTTATTCTAGTTGTGACCATTCTAATCTGTTTCAGGCAGCCATAAATGCAAGAACACGATGAGGATAAATTATATAACATTGGAAAAAATACAAACAGAAAGTTTTAATCTATTTTAGAATAATTATCCTAGTCTAATCTCCTTTCACGAATGAAGGAAACTGTTGAAGAAAGGACTCTTAAACAGAATAACAGTCATAGAATGCTCTGAGTTGGAAGGGACCCACAACACATACACAGATGTGATGATTTTCTTCTCATTTGTCTGGGCATTTTTTACATAAAGTCATGAATGAAGAAGGAGAAATCTAGAAAAACCCCAAGAAGACAAGTGGACATCAAGATTTTTATCGTAGTTTTACGTTATCCTGTGAAACTGTATCTGCCTCGAATATATTCCAGAAACCACCCTCTAGATGGCAGGAGTTTGTCACTTCACTCATGAACAGTAAACCGTCCTTTTTTCAGCACAAGTAAAGTGGCCTAGGGCTGTAATACAAGTGAATAAAAAAATAAATTAGATGAGAATAGCCAATTTAGAGCTTACAGAATTTCCATTAGCAACACTGGACTAGTCTCAGGGGAATTGTTGCAGATTTGTTGTTGCAAAGCTACATGCAGAAAATAGTGAGAAGCAGCCTCATTTTTAGAGGGGTTTTCAGTGACCTTTGTGAGAGAAGCAGTGGCTGGGCAGTGAGTGTGCCTCTGAACTGTTGTCATTCCATATCACCTTACAGAGAATCAGAACTGTCATATCTTTGCTTAATGGCCACTGTCTTGCTGGGATAACAGGACAAGACTCTGTGAGGGCCTCCCTACACTGCCTGACAAAGGTATTTGTCTAGTCAAGAGCTTTCATGACAGCACATATGTTGGAGGCTGTCTTAACCCCAAGCTGTGCTACCTGCAGAGCAAAAGCTGAGAGAACTGGCAGTGAAAGTCCCTTTTGTAAACTAAATGATGCCAGTGACAGCAGAGCTGTCTTGGCTGGCATTCGTGTACCAAAGTCATGCAGCAGCATAGAGTGTTTTCCACTTGTTTCACTCTGCTACATCACCCTGCATCTCAGAAAGTTAGTTTCACCTGTACAAAGGGCTAAAGGATGCTAATAAATCAGAATCCCTCAAAAATAAATGGCTGTCCAGAGCAATGAAATTTTGGGCACTGTCTTTCTACCTCGCTCTCTTTTTGTTCACATTTCAGAGTCTTGTGGCAAGGCAGAGCAGTAGCACTATGGCTAACATACTGCTGCTAGTCAGATACATATTTTTAAGGCAATAACTTCACATTTCAAATGGGAATAATTCAGCAAAGAGAAGTTTGGGAACAGTTGTCTGAGGGAAGGTGGGATTGCTTTTTCCAGTGGCAAAGCTGAGTAGTACTCTTGCAACACAGTGTACCAGCTCATGTGGACACTGACCAGCTTCAGAGCTGCACTGCTCAGTTTTTCCTCTGCTCACCTCATAGAAATTCTTCCTGTGCTGTGAGGGCACATTTCAGGGATGGACACTTATTTATTTCTTAAGCTACTCAAGTAATAACAAAGGATTCATGCCATCTCATTTCTACTGATAATTATTGAGATCAGAAAAGAAAATCAGGAAATTAGGTGTGTGCACAGCCTCTATGAGAATGGCAATGTTCTGGGAGAGATAAGACCTTCATATGCAGTGACACTGGACTGTGCTGGATGACAATGAAAAATTTTCACTGCCTTTAATTTTGATATCTCAGTCCCTTTAAAGATACAAGAAAGCATGTTAACTATCATCTTGAAATACATACTGACCTGAATTGTTGTCATTTACTTTTAATTGCATCAACTGCAATTTCTTTTCCTCTAAATAAAATGCTTGTTCTGATCTAATTAAGCTCCCATTACCTACCTGCCTATTACCATAATTATCTTCATTATTGCAATGTCTCCTCACAGCATTCAATATGTTTGCCTCCCTGGGGGTTGCATTGTAAAATAGGTGCAGCATATACCTTTCTAAATGACCTTTGAAGCGACATACATCAAATTTAATTTGTTTTTAAATCCTGGCCTTGCAGCAACTGACCTTAAAAGTCATGTCGATATTTGTTTGATGTAAGATAATTTTGTCTGTAGACATTGATACTCACTGATTTAACTACATAAAGAAATGGGAAACAAAGAAAATAACTTGAGGCAAAAATCTTTACTGACATCTACTGAATTGGCATGTTCAGATATAATATTTTAAAATAGTCCTTCTTGACTTAGATGTTGTAAAATTTTTTTTTCTCTGTGTGTTTTATTTTTTCCCTGCTGTTATAACTGATGCTTACAGTTGTTAATCTTAGAAAATTATTCCCCAAGAAATTTCTAGATGGTTATTTTGTCTGGTCAATGTTTGTGGGATGTATCAAAAAGTAAAAGAAAAAAAAAGAGATAAAAGAAAAAGAGATTTTGCTGTTAAGTGATTAAAGCCTCAATTCAGGGAGATCACTTAGTTGTCAATTTCTTTATTAAAATCTATTAATCCTTCCTATGATATTTGAGTTGCATATTTTCACATTTCTTCCACGACTTCAACAAAAAACTGAACGCATTTTTATCATGGTAGTTTATTGGGGCGTTTTTATATGCTTTTTAAGATGAAAGATATGCAGTAAAGCTAATACTGTATGTATTATGTAGCACATTTAATGTAGCATCATATATTAATTATCATATACTAATTAAGATTGCTAAGGTGAGGGGATACTGCAAGACTAATCAGTCACTCATTTTCTAAGAAAAGGG